TGGGGAGGGGGGAGGAGGGAGGGATTGCATTGGGAGTTATACCTGTTGTAAATGACGAGTTGATGGGTGCTAATGAGTTGATAGGTGCAGCACACCAACATGGCACAAGTATACATATGTAACAAACCTGCACGTTATGCACATGTACCCTAGAACTTAAAGTATAATAATAATAAAAAATAAAAAAATAAAAAAGCAAAACTTTTTCAGGCAATTTAGTTATAAGCAAATTACAATGTTTTATTACAATCTGCAGGAAAAAGGCCTCTAGCAGACCAATCCAAAGATTCACTCTTGGCAGAAATATTTTATAGGAAAACAGAAAGGTTAATCACTTTCAGATTAGATACAAAAGAATGTTTGTTTAAGGTCACTCTATCTGGTTAAATGGCCGGGTGATTGGTTTTCCCAGAACAAGTTGTAATTTAAAGTTCAGAAAAATTTCTTAAGTAATTTATCAGGAATGCAATTCTCTCCCCAGAAGGAGCTTGTGAATTGTATTCCAAAAAATATTCCATCCCAGTCCGGGTTTGGAACAATTTTTCTCCTATTGAATATTTTAAAATATATTTCTACAAGATGGTTCAATGTACTTCTTCAACTCAATTTTTAGCAGCAAATACATGTCATTTCCTTATGTCAGTCCATATTTAAAACATAGTAGTTGTTCCTTTCAGTTGTGAAACAAACAAAGAGTTGAGATGGAGAATCCAAATGGAAGCCCTGGTTTAAATAGAACGGACTGGGAAGACCTCTCTGAAGGGATAAGTTTGAGTTGCGGAAGTCACATTTAAGTTGAGGTCTAAAGGGAGACAAAGAAGCTACTCAAGTGAGATGATAAGGAAACATATTTCACAGGGAAACAGCTTATACAGAGGCCCTTAGGAAAGAAAAGTGACTTTGAAGATGGTGTTACCTAAGGAAACCAACACAGAAGGTTGAAATTGATGCAGACAGTTCAGAGATGGGTTCTGATTGGTCCATTCTGATGGGTTTTCTCTTCAAACCAACCCTTCCAGGTACAGTACTAAGAGTAGTATGGGAAGAATTAGGATGAGGTACTATTAGCAGAGGAAAGGGGATCAGAACCCAAGAAATGGGGAGGAGGAGGAGGGAGTGACTCTCCTTAATATTTCCATATCCACAGACAAAAAGGAGACTTTTAGAAATAGACTCCCTGGCGGTCCACAGTGCACTATCCTTGCCTGCTCCTCCTTCAGGGAAAGATGAGTGACTTTCCTGATTGGTGACATCAGGACAAGTCATTAGAAGCAGGAACCAGGAGCCAGGCATTGAAAAGGGGGCTTGCTGTCTCACATACACTTGCTATGCTATCTCTTCTGCAGTGCAAGGGTTTATGAAACAGATCGTGATCCTATGCACTTAAGGAGTGCTTAAGGAGTGTCTTCCTGGCAGAGCCAACTCTTTTTAAAGATAGATTGGAAAGCCTGGATGTGAATAGAATTAGTGAAAGCCCTACTTCAGCTCTGGCCTTAAGCCACATTGCTTCAACACAAGTTATAAGGAAACTCTCCCCAGATCTGCTTTCGGAGGGGTGGGATAGAGCTTGAAGGGAAAGAAAAAGAAGAGCTTAGCCCTCAGATCCCTAACATGTGGATTTTGGTTAGATATGTGAATTTCTTTCTTTCTTTTTTTAAGCTGGAGTCTCGCTGTGTCACCCAGGCTGGAGTTCAGTGGAGAGATCTTGGATCACTGCAACCTCCGCCTCCCAGGTTCAAACAGTTCTCCTGTCTTAGCCTCCCGAGTAGCTCGGACTACAGGTGCACCCCACCACACCTGGCTAATTTTTGTATTTTAAGTAGAGACCATGTTTCACCATATTGGTCAGGTGGGTCTCAAACTACTGACCTCAGGTGATCCACCCACCTAGGCCCCCCAAAGTGCTGGGATTACAGACGTGAGCCACTGTGCCTGGCCAGATATGTAAATTTCTTGAAATACGGGGCTATATTAGTTGGGACTCTTCATTATAAGGACAAAAATTCAACTCAAGGTAGCTTAAGCAAAGCAAAAAAAAAAAAAAGTGGTTTATTGGCTCACATACTGGGAAGGACAGGGTTGTGTGTGTCATTACGACTTTCTGCCTCTTCTTTGTCATCTCTACTTGGCTTGACTTCGTTCCCTGATTTCTTGGTGCCTTCAAGCTTTCTTCAGGATGACTTCAAAGGTCGGGGAAGATAGCTCAGTATAGCCTAAGTACCTCAGCTTTTCTCTCCAAACATGTACACATCAAATCCTAGGGAAAGTCTATGAATCAAATGGGTAAGAGTTAGTTCCCACATAGTAAGGGGCACTCAAGTATCGAAATAAGGGGAGGAAAAGGGCTGGACACTGTGGCTCATGCCTGTAATCCCAGCACTTTGGGAGGCCAAGACAGGCGGATCATTTGAGGCCAGAAGTTCAAGACTAGCCTGGCCAACATGGTGAAACGCCATCTCTACTAAAAATACAAAAATAAGCCAAGCGTGTGGTGTGTGCCTGTAATCCCAGCTACTTGAGAGGCTGAGGCACAAGAATCACTTGAAACCAGGAGGCAGAGGTTGCAGTGAGCTGAGATCATGCCACTGGACTCCAGCCTGTGTGACAGAGTGAGATACTGTATCAAAAAAAAAAAAAAAGATGGTGATGGGGGTGGGGTAGGGAGGAGAAAACAGATGCTGAAGAGACAAAAATGACAAACTTTGGAATAATAAAGGAAGTTAAGGATAAATTGTCTTACGAGAGCAGCACAAAAGAAGTGTAAAAATCATATGCTTTACTCTCCCACCACCCAGTTAAAATACTCTTCCTAAAGAGTAATTTTTTTCATGAAATGAAACTCAGGTTATTGAGAAACTGCAGCAGGATGGGAAACAATCTTGCTTTCCTCAGAGGTGTAGAGAAGGGCAAGAACTGGAAGAGTTTCTCCACCAAGGTAAAATAGGCATGGAAAGGGACAGCGATGGGCACAGGTATCGGGGAGGGTAAATCGACTTTGGGCAGGTACAGCGAGAGACATTAGGTAACAATCCAAGAAAAGTCAGTACCCATAGCCTGGGCAACATGGAGAAACCCTGTCTCTACAAAAAATACAAAAACTAGCCGGGTGTGGTGGTTCAAGCCTGTGGTCCCAGCTACTCAGGAGGCTGAGGTGGGAGGATCTCCAGAACCCAGGTAGGTCAAGGCTGCAGTGAGCCGAGATCGAGTCATTGCACTGCTGCCTGGGCAACAGAGTGTGACTCTGGCAAAAAAGAAAAAAAAAAAAGGCCAGTCTCAGTGGCTCACACCTGTAATCCCACCACTTTGGGAGGCCAAGGTGGGTGGATCACCTGAGGTCAGGAGTTCAAGACCAGTCTGGCCAACGTGGCGATACCCTGTCTCTACTAAAAATACAAAAATTAGTTGGGTGTGGTGACACATGCCCATAATCCCACCTATCAGGAGGCTGAGGCAGGAGAATCGCTTGAACCCAGGAGGCAGAGGTTGCAGTGAGCTGAGATCGCACCACTGCACTCCAGCCTGGGTGACAGAGCAAGACACCATCTCAAAAAAAAAAGAAAGAAAGGAAGGAAGGAAGAAGAAAAGTCAGTACCCGTCATCTCAATACAAAGAAGAAGGAATGTCTCAGATGGTAGATGTTAAGTGTTTCCCTGCATAGATCTCCAAATATGGAAAGTTATCTGTCAGATATTTAGGCTGAAGTTGTGGAGCACACCTTCTGTCCCTAGGTATGATAAGAATAGAGACTGATAAGAACAAGGCAGGCCTCCAGGTCTAGAGAAAGTATGGTTCTCAGTAGGTTTCTAAGTCAGGGATCCAGGCACAGGGAACAGACAGGGATGTAGTTACAAAAACTGGTTACCAGAAGGCCTGGTCTTGGAGACAAGTAGGAAGTCCAGTTATTGGAGCGTGTCAGAGCTAGTCTAGCAATGAGTATGACTTTGTGTGCCAAATCTCTGGATGATGGACATGAGTGCCCTCCTGGGGCTGAGATTTGTTTTAGGGGCCGAAGGTTGGTATCTGTTGGGAGACGAAGGATATAGAAGTAGGGAGTTAGACAGATTCTGACAGACACAAGGAAAGATTTTACTATGTGAGTTGAATAGCATGTATTTTGATCAGATCAATTCTGAAGCTATAAAGTACAATAAACGAGATGTTTTAAAAGTAAGAGGCTGGGCGTGATGGCTCACACCTGTAATCCCAGCACTTTGGGAGGCTGAGGCGGGTGGATCACTTGAGCCTGGGAGTTCAAGACCAGCCTAGGCAAACCCAGTATCTACTGAAAATACAAAAATTTAGGCAGGCATGGTGGTGCATGCTTGTAGTCCCCGCTGCTCTGGAGGCTGAAGTGGAAGGATTGCTTAAGCCTGGGAAGTCAAGGCTGCGGTGGGCTGTGATCATGCCACTGCACTCCAGCCTGGTCAACAGAGTGAGATCCTGTCTCAAAAAAAAAAAAAAAAGAGGAAGAATCCACATCTAATTTGAAACACCCAGAGCTGTGGGAGTATCATGACCAGAGCGCAAGAAGTACAATATTGGGGCACATTTAGATAAGGATAATTTGTATTATTGATTTGTATTCATCTCTAAGATGTGCCTCTCACTGTGAAGTTCCATGGATAAAGATTTGGCTTCAGTTTCTGTCTGGAAACCTGGCACCATTTACTTACAAATTAAAAATACAAGTGAATCATTTACATATCTCCTAGAAACCAAAGAGTTTGTATGTTATACCTCAAGTAATTTGGATAATGCTGTGGGTTGCGTTTTTTTTTCTTTTTTAAATTATAATTAAGCCATCCATCACTTCAAGGTGATAATCTTCTCAAGTATGCTCTTCTTAAAACGATTGCATTTTATTTAGTATGTTATAGCGTGAGGAATTTTGACTCCTAGGGAAAATCTCATGTAAGTGATCATCTGTTATTTTGAGGGGAGATGATGGGGAGGAGTCTTTTCTGATCCTCTTCTTTTGAAAGTTATCACCCTCCCACTCTATGGGATTTAGGTGGGTCTGTCAGACACATGGGTTTAAATCCAGAACCTGCTTGATTCCCAACTTCTGTATCCTTTCTCTCCCCACAGATACCAACCATCTGGCCCTAAAACAAATCTCATCAGTTTATGAACCAAGCAGCCCAATCAGAGTGCCTAATTCTCCCTACCACACAATTGGTCAAGGAGGAAGCAAGTGACATAATCTAAATTCTTTCCAAAGATGGATGCAGATGCTAGGAAAGCAAGAGTTGAATTGCTAGCCATGAGGAAAACGTAAGCCTGGGCTGTTTGCTGGTCATCTTTGCTTCCATATGGAGACAGTCTGCGTGGAAATGAAGCCACACAGAGAAAACAGAAGAGCAGTGAAGAGAAAGGTAAAAGGAGAGATCCCATGACATGATTTGCACTCTTAGATCCAGTTATGCCTGAAGCAGGACCCACCCCTTGGACTTCCCATTTCCAGGAGCCTATGCATTCTCTGTTGCTAAAACTAGATTGAGTTGAGTTTCTATCACCTACAAGTTGACAGAAAATATCAACAGTCCAGCCACATGGAGCCTCAAGGCAATACCACTAACCCTGGTCACCACACAAATACTGACCAGAGGTAAGCATTATTAGCTTCTGCTTTGTTGGAGGAACATTTGAGAGTCTATTTTGTGTTATGTAATTTTACTTTTTGCCTCCAATGTCTACTTGTTGCAATTGCATGCAGTGAAGGAACACAAAATAGACTGAATAATAAACAGGTTTCATTTTAATTTAGCACCAAGGAGTTAATATCAAGCCACAAAACTTTAGACATTAACTTGCTTTGCTAATCATTTTTGATGACAATATTTTGAAAGAATTTAGTTCACATATGTGCTTGCAAATAAGGTGTAATCTTGCAAGGTATTCAAGATTGCTCTGTCATTGGTCGTGAATGAAAAAGGTTTCTCTGTATCATTGGGCATTTGAAAGAATGTATAAAAAGTGCAGGATGTCTCCTTACTGGTATGTAATGTTTCCAACTTTGCTGTCGTAGAGTTCAAAGCCAGTCTGACTCTTGATCCTTAAATACATGTTTTTTCTCCTCTCCAGAAGCTTTGAAGATCCCTTTGTCTCTGATGTTCTGAAGTTTCACAGTCGTGTGTGTTGGCATGAGTCTTTCCCCATTCTTGTTCTGAGTGGATCCTTACACTCCGGAAATTGATTTCTTGCAGAACTATTTATTGACGGCCTATTGTGTGTCTGGTTCTATTTTACGCAATGATCAAACATACAAAATCCTTGCCATGGAGGATTTCACATTATAGGCAGATATTGGACAATCTGCGGTGATCCAATAGCTTCCTTATTTTTTTTCTCTTCCATTTCCACCTTCTTGTCTTTTCTTTCTTCTAAGAGTCTTCAACTTCATCTTCCAACTTCTTTATTAAAGTTTTTGCTCCTGCTATGTGTTCAATTTCCAAGGGCTCTGTATTATTTCATAAGTGCGTATCTTCTCTTATCTCTCTGAAGACGTCTTTAACAGTTTTACCATTTATTTATTTTACTTCTTGCATTATCTCAATACCTCTACATTTTGTTGTCCTGTTCATTTATTTTGGTCTCTGTTTTTTAATGATAAGAACTTTCTTTCTCACCTATTTGTATTTAGGGGGCTACAGAACTGAGAACGTACTGACAGCTCTGTTGAGAGTATGGGATTTGTGAACTGGGCTTCATTAGTAAGGTGACTGGGCAAAACTTAAATTTCACTGAGGTTTTCCTCCCTCCATATTGTCTTATCTATAGTTAGTTGCCAGTGTTTATACATGATATTCTAGCCTCAAGGTAGATTTACTCTAAAATTTATTTTACTCAAGCTTAACACAGAATGTTTTAAATTTTTGTTTGTTTGTTTGTTTTTTGAGACTGAGTATCTGTCATCCAGCCTGGAGTGTAGTGGCACCATCTTGGCTCACTGCAACCTCTGCCTCCTGGATTCAAGCAATTCCCTTGCCTCAGCCTCCCAAACAGCTGGGATTACAGGTACTGGCCACCATGCCTGGCTAAATTTTTTTGCATTTTTAGTAGAGACGGAGTTTTGCCATGATGGCCAGGCTGCACTTGAACTTCTGACCACAGGTGATCTGCCCACCTTGGCCTCCCAAAGTGCTGGGACTGCAGATGTGAGCCACCATGCCCAGCCTTTAAATTTTTATTCTACATAATAAAATCAAATTACAGAGCAGCTGCCTGGTACAATTTGTATAAAAAACTTATATTTGGGCCGGGCACAGTGGCTCACACCCGTAATCCTCGCACTTTGGGAGGCCGAGGTGGGAGGATCACTTGAGGTCAGGACTTTGAGACTAGCTTGGCCAACATGGCAAAACCCCATCTCTACTAAAAATACAAAAATTAGCCAGACATGGTGGCACACGCCTGTAATCCCAGCTATTTGGAAGGCTGAGGCAGAATTGCTGGAACCCAGGAGGTGGAGGTTGCAGTGAGCTGAGATCGTACCACTGCATTCCAGTCTGGGCGACAGAGCAAGACTCTATCTTGAAAAAACAAACAAACAAAACAAACAAAAACCACTTATATTTGGAAAGTAAAAAAAACAAAACAAAGCAAAACAAACAAACAAAAAAAACAAGACTTTATTGCAGAACTGCCCAACAGGTATGCCACATGCGAGTTATAAATGTTCCAAGGTATGGACCCCTTCCCTTGGGTCAATAAGGTGAAAGTACATGTGTAACAACCAGCTCTCCAGGAAAAAAGCCTTGATTTGTAGCATTTGTTAATTTTATCTTACTTTTTAGAGATAGAGTCTTATTATGTTGCCTAGGCTGGCCTCAAACTCCTGGGCTCAAGTGATCCTCCTGCCTCAGCCTCCCAAAGTGCTGGGATTATAGAGGTGAGCCATTGGGCCCAGCCTGCATTCAATAATTGTTTTTATTTCCGTGGTGTAAGTACTCCTACCACAGACAATTTCAGACTGCCAACAAGCTGTCATTAAATGCAGATTGGGGAAGATATATGTACACAGTTGGCTCTTGGGAGCTGGTAGGAGCTGGCTCCAGCACATTTCTGAACACTTAAACTCTCGGGAGTGCTGGTGGATGTCTCAGGTGAGCAGTGCCTGCCCTGGGTTATTGCCTTCTGCTGAGAACAGTCTTGTCAATTTACCCCAATGTGCTGTTCAACTATTATCATTCATATATATATATATATATATATATATTTTTTTTTTTTTTTTCTCATGACATGAGAAAGGCTGGAAGCCCTTCTCCATTGGATTTTTTTGTTTGTTTGTTTTTTGTTTTTGTTCTTTCTTTTTTGAGACAGAGTTTCGCTTTGTCACCCAGGCTGGAGTATAGTGACACAATCTCAGCTCACTGCAACCTCTGCCTCCTGGGTTCAAGCGATTCTCCTGCTTCAGCCTCCCGAGTAGCTGGGATTACAGGCATGTGCCACCACGCCTGTAATTTTTGTATTTTTAGTAGAGACAGGGTTTTGCCATGTTGGCCTTGCTGGTCTCGAACTCCTGACCTCAGGTGATCAGTCCGCCTCAACCTCCCAAAGTGCTGGGATTACAGGCATGAGCCACCATGCCTGGCTGGATTTGTTTATTTCTAAAATATTGTATGTTTGTATCTATCTTCACACATGCAACTCAATTCACTAAAATATATTAATATTTTCTTGCAAGTGTATAGATGATATTACTTTTGTGGCCATACAAGAAGTTTCTTGAAGTTCAAACAACAATTCATATAGAATATTCGACAACCCTGTTTTTCTGGATAAAGCTTGAAACCGTGGAGAAATGAAACATCATCCTACCCTCAGAGAGCACACAGTCTAGGAAAAATGATTCCATTTGAAATAATTCAAATACATTTTAGGCTCAGTAGGTTTATTAATATTAGGCAACAATAAATGACTGCTTAGTATTCTTCATTTTATCCTTTAAAAATTTTGGCATTTTGATTTTTCTTTATTAAAAAATATACTTTAAAAATTAGAGAGGGAAAATATCTTTTAACCTCACTGAATAAAAGAAAATAATTGAAACTTTAATTTTCATTTTAAAAGTAATTACATGCAGTGATAGCCTAATTTTGATGGCATGGTAGTTAACAGACAGCTGCTTTTATTTTAAATGGAATTGCATTTTTAACAGAAACTACTCTCATTGTTTGCTTTCATCTTCTAAATAGGAAAGCCAATTTGAGGGTTGAATATTTATCTGGTGCGTTTGATGGAGCCAATTAAGATAATTCAGGTTAATAGAAAAAAATAATTTAATATGTTTCTCACTTAGCTGATTCATAAAGTTGACAATGACTTCTATCTACAACAGCTATTCCAAAAAAGTCTATGATAAATTCAGCCTTCTTCTTGAAGGAAAAACAAAATACTGTAAATTTTACTCAGAACTCATATTTTTAAACTTCATTAATTGTACACAATAAATTGAAGTGACAATATTTATATAATATAGATTTCAAGATTATCTTCTCAGCATGTATGAAGATTGATTATGATGTTTCATTATAGCTATGCACCTACTTACATTAAAATTAATGTATCACAGCAGTGTCTTTCAGGCAGTAGTTAAAATAAAAAGAAATACTTCACTAGATAGGATAAATACTAACAAGAGGTTGCTGCAGACCCCAAAGTGCAACTTTTTTTTTTTTTTTGAGATGGAGTCTCGCTCTGTTGCCCAGGCTGGAGTTCAGTGGCATGAACTTGGCTCACTGCAACCTCTGCCTCCCAGGTTCAAGCGATTCTCCTGCCTCAGCCTCCCGAGTAGCTGGGACTACAGGCACACACCACCACGCCCAGCTAATTTCGTATTTTTAGTAGAGACGGGGTTTCACCATGTTGTCCAGGATGGTCTCAATCTCTTGACCTCGTGATCCATCTGCCTCAGCCTCCCAAAGTGCTGGGATTACAGGCGTGAGCCGCTGCACCTGGCCTGATGATTAAGTATCTTAATTTTTACCTGGGAGGCTAGAGTCACTCGTGTGACTACAACAGGGTGGGTATTTGGTTATTTTTGTGATTGTTTAATGTGTTTGTCTGTGTTCATGTTCAGATTGAGTAAGTTGCAATCTTGTTATTGTCTTGTTCCACCATGGTTACAGAGTGACCTTGTATGATTATCGTTGTTATTCTGTGAAAACTGCTTATCTTGCATGAGGGAACGCTACAGACTAGTTAGCTGTCAGCTGCAGGCTGTCAGGGTCATCTTGTTGTTTATCACATTCTCAATCAGCTATTAAGCTTGGACTCTGACATGTGCTTGTTTCCACAGAGGACTTTAGGAAACCCAGGTCACAACGTGTGACCAAGAATTGGGAAGAGGGATAGTCCCCCTGTTTCCGTAGAGTTTCCATGCAATGACTTTGAGAGTTTGCTGCTTCAGGAATGCTCTGGGCCTGATGGCAGCATCCTCTTCAGGGCTGGGGTCGGGGGTAAAAGGGAGCTGCTGCCCTCAAGTGGCTGTCTGGGAAATTACATCAGTGACTGTTCCCCCAACTCACGGTTAGATTTTCTGGGAACTTCCCTGAACATGGCAAGGCAGAGCAGAAGGAAAGAAGATTTGCCTGGGAGTAAAAGCCA